GGCATTGAATTATGGGTGTGGGCACACGAGAGCGCGACCCCCCCTGGTCCCCCCATTTTTGGCACACGACGGCAAAAAGGTTAGTCATCACTGCCCTAGGACGACCCAATGGATCGTAGAAACTGTAGTATTTCAGAGGGTGAATTTAAAAAGGCCTCTCTCATTTCACGGCTAACTTTGTGATCAGTTGAATTCTTAACAGCTTGAAAAAGCTGGAGATTAGAAAATAATAATAAAAAATTAAAAGACTCTTACTGCTGTGTTCTCTCTGATACAGGGGTCTCCAACCTTGGCAGCTTTAAGCCTGGCGGACTTCAGCTCCCAGAATTCTGCTTTAATAGACATGGGCCTAAATAGACTCTTAAAGTTGTGAGTTTTTGAGCTCTTCAGCTTCAGCTGTAATAAATGGGGATGTTACAAAATCTGATGAAGGATGTAAAAAGGAGTGTTTCTTCTTCTTCTTCTTTTTTTTTTTAATTTGATTTATATGCCGCCCTTCTCTGGAGACTCAGGGCGGCTTACAATGCGCTAAGCAATAGCCTTCATTCTTTTGTATATTTATACAAAGTCTTGATAATACAAATCCTAATTCACTTGTATACTCTGTGTATAACCCACTGTAATTAACATCTTGTGTTCTTTGGAATTACGGTGTCCCAATTCTAGTAATTCGGTAAAATCTAAAAATGGTAGCCATTACTTTTTTCTTTTTTAATGATGGGGAGAGCAGTGGAAATGGATAAGGTGATAAAAACTCTGGTATACAGCTGAGAAACGTAGTACTTTTTCTATATCTGAATAAACTTTTTACCATCAGAAGTCCCAACTATAGGACTCTTTAGAATTAGATGTTTGAACTACATATTTATACACTGCTCAAAAAAATAAAGGGAACACAAGCAGAAGACATCCGAGATCTGAATGAATGAAATAGCCTTATTAAATACTTTGTTCATTACATACAGTAGTTTTGTGTTCCCTTTAGTTTGAGCAGTGTATAAACTACTGTATGTAAAGAACAAAGTATTTAATAAGGCTATTTCATTCATTCAGATCTCGGATGTCTTCTGCTTCTGTTCCCTTTATTTTTTTGAGCAGTATATATTCTTTCCCGTCTTTTTCTCCACTGTTAAACAACCTGCTGTTAATATCAATAATAGAATTCAAGGGCATGACATGAATATTTAAAACTAGTTCGGATTCAAAGAGCAAGATAATATTTCTAGATCAGGGTTGAAATTGGGAGGTCCTTAGTGTACTTGATTGTTTTCTTGCAGAAATTTAATTAACCAGTCGATCAGAATACAGCGGAAAGGGGCCTTGGAGCTCTTCTAGTCCAACCCCCTCTTAAGCAAGAGGTAACATCTTCAGGTGCTAGGGTAATGAAATGTCTGCACAAAAACAGTCGATCTCAGATAGCACAAGGACTCCATGCTTCAGATATGTTGTTGGGTTTTTTTTATGGGTGGATGGAAGGAAGGAAGGAAAGGAAGGAAGGAAGGAAGGAAGGAAGGAAGGAAGGAAGGAAGGAAGGAAGAAGGGAAGGAAGGAAGGATGGAAGGAGGGACGGAAGGAAGGTAGAAGGAAGGGAGGGAAGGAAGGAAGGAGGAAGGAAGGAAGGAAGGAAGGAAGGAAGGAAGGAAGGAAGGAAGGAAGGAAGGAAGGAAGGAAGGAAGGTTTAGCTTAGCTTAGCTTAGTTTAGCTTAGCTTTAGCTATCCTGGTATCCTTCTGATGTTTTAGAACCAGTGGTGGATTTCAAATTTTTTTACTACTGGTTCTGTGGGTGTGGCTTGGTGGGCGTGGCATGGCTTGGTGGGCGTGGCATGGGAAGGATGCTGTAAAATCTCCATTCTCACCCCACTCCAGGGGAAGGATACTGCAAAATCCCCATTTCCTCCCGATCAGCTGGGACTCAGGAGACAGAGAATAGATGGGGGTTCTCCGAACTACTCAAAATTTCCGCTACCGGTTCTCCGGAACTGGTCAGAACCTGCTGAAACCCACTTCTGGTTAGAACCATGTTGTTTTGGACTTCGGGAACTGCTGTCCAAGTACATTTGAAAAGCAGCCGCCGACTATTTTAAAATATTCAGTGTTGTAGACCAGTGATTCTTAACCTTTTCTTCACCACGGACCCCTGTTAAAATAACTCATGTGGCCACGGATAATGGCCACTGACCCCTGCCCCCCCCTAAGACTTACCGGTAACTCAAGATTTAAATCGTAACATTTCTTCAAGCTTTTCGGACCGCCTGTGACAACATTGTGTTCCCTCCCCCCAGGGGTTCATAGACCACAGGTTGAGACCAAAGGTAATTTTCCGGATATATTGTGTCTAGTTGATTATTTTCAACACTTTTTTTTGTGGCTGGAGAATCAGGATTAGCAGTAGTATTGGTATACCAATGGGCAAGTGACAGTGGTGAAATTCAATTTTTTTTACTGCCGGTTCTGTGGGCGTGGCTTGGTGGGTGTGGTATGGCTTGGTGGGAGGAGCTTGGTAAGCGTGCAGGGGAAGGATACTGCAAAATCTCCATTCCCACCCCACTCCGGGGGTAGGATACTGCAAAATCTCCATTCCCACCCCACTCTGGGGCCAGCTAGAGGTGGTATTTGCCGGTTCTCTGAACTACTCAAAATTTCCGCTACCGGTTCTCCAGAACCTGTCAGAACTTGTCATCCCTGGCAAGTGGTGTCTCCGGAGAGATTATTCTGTTTCATATTTTTAAAACTCTTCTGCCCAAGCCAAGAAATGCATGAGTTTGAGAGTTGGGTTTTATTCCTTTCATTTTATTTTCCACTTTAGGAAAGGTGTTAAGACTTTGAATAGTGTTAATAATGTTAGCTATTTACTGGGCTTTGCATATATTTTATTATAGATTGGATACCTTAGGATAGAAAGGGAGGGTATGAAATGATAAAAGTAAACAATCATGTCAGTTGGCGATGTTTTCTCAAGATTTATAGACTTGATTATTGCTCGCATGTTTTTCTTTGTAGACTTTCAGACTTAAAGAGGATACCTTTAATATACTGTTTTGCTGTTTTTCTTCCTATCCAATAGCTTCAGAATTCGTGGGATTGGTGTGTAAACATCTATTATATATGTACCATTATAAATATTTTTTTCAGCATATATGTAGCACACACACACACTGGCAAAAAATGAGAACATGTATTGTCAAAAACAAGATATTTGTATAAATTGCGTACTGTAAGCTAATATATGTGCATAAATGGAAAACTGTGTTTTAAACAGAATAGTAAAGGTAAAGGTTCCCCTCGCACATATGTGCTAGTCGTTCCCGACTCTAAGGGGCGGTGCTCATCTCTGTTTCAAAGCCGAAGAGCCAGCGCTGTCCGAAGACGTCTCCGTGGTCATGTGGCCGGCATGACTCAACGCCAAAGGCACACGAAACGCTGTTCCCTTCCCACCAAAGGTGGTCCCTATTTTTCTACTTGCATTTTTTTACGTGCTTTCAAACTGCTAGGTTGGCAGAAGCTGGGACAAGTAATGGGACCTCACCCCATTACGCGGCGCTAGGGATTCGAACCGCTGAACTGCCGACCTTTCAATCGACAAGCTCAACGTCTTAGCCACTGAGCCACCGCGTCCCTTTAAATAGAATACATTCACCCAAATTAAGAGTGTCAGGTGAGCAAGCCAGGTGAGATAAGAGAGCTGCACTTGAGAACTATAAAAGCTTCCCAAAGTTTTGTTTTTGGATCCATAAAAGGTTACGAGATGAAAAAAGAGCAGTTGTCCAGCCTGGGCTGGAACTGCTAAAGAAGATATTTTTCCATTATGGGTTTTTATGGCCTTATGACTTCACGGACATGACTCTGCACTCTTATTAGCAACAATGTGTAAATGGCTTGCTAGTGTCTTCTTCCAAGATTTATTCATTTCCTTTCATTTCCACTCTCATCTACAGCCTTGGTGGCCTCCCATGCAAGGATTAATCCTGTTTATCCTCTCAATAATGGCATAAATGGGGCAGTGGTGAAATGTAAAATTTGTTACTATCGGTTCTGTGGTTATGGCTTGGTGGGGAGGTAATATGACTTCATCTGAAGAGGTTGTAAAAAAATGCTTTTAAAAGCCTCTGACGATCCCAGCTGACTTGATTGATCGGCAGAGGCTTTCTCTCTTTCTTTTTTTAAAGCCTCTGATGATCCCAGCTGACTTGCCTGATCGGCAGAGGCTTTTTTTCCTTTTAAAAACATTTTTTCTATAACCTCTTCGGCCGAAGAGATTGTAGAAAAAATGCTTTTAAAAGCCTCTGATGATTCCAGCTGAGCCGCGGGATCATCAGAGGCATTTTTTTACTTTTAAAACCATTTTTTTCAGCCAAAGAGGTTGTAGAAAAAATGCTTTTAAAAATTTTTAAAAAAAAAGCCTCTGATGATTGTGTGGCTCAGCTGGACAATGTGGGGGGGCAGGGATTTTTACTACCAGTTCTCCGAACCACTCGCCTCCATCGCTACCGGATCGGGCGATCCGGTCCGAACCGGGAGCATTTCACCCCTGAAATGGGGGCAAAAAAGTAGAAAACATAGATTATTGCTGTGCATCTTCCTGATTGGTATAATTATGCATTTCTGCTGAGCTCAGAATCTGCCAGCTATTAAGGCACGTGAATTGTGGATGTTTTAAGGGCTGGGATAGACAATAACATTATTGGGAGCTAGTTTGGTCTAGTAGTTAAGGCACCAGGCTAGAAAGCAAGAAAAGTGTGAGTTCTAATCCGGCCTTAGGGATAAAAGCCAGATGAATGATGCAGGACCAAGTTAGTCTTTTTTCAACCCAACCCACCTCACAGTGTTGTTGTTAGGAAAATAAGGCATACTTAGGTATGTTCACTGCCTTGAGTTATGGATAAAAATGACGAAGACAGGAGGAAAATAAATGAAAACCAGAGAGAAGGTACTTTGCCACCTTGAGTTATTTATAAAAAAAAAACAAAGGCAGGGTAAAAGGAAATAAAACCCACAGAAGTTGTTTCAACACAGGTTCTTGTTTATTAATACACACTGGAAGCACAGCACAGGGTTTTTTGCTTCAGGTACGGTTTTACAGCGTGCATCATACACACAGTCTGGAAAAGCGTCGTTTTGAATCCAGTTTGGGCTGTTGCGTGACTGCCATGCTGAAATTTTCTCAGCCACATGCAAGGATTTGGAGGGTGACGAGGAAGAGGCTGGGATCATCAAAGGGCCAAACCTGTGAAGCTGCTTCGCAACCAGGAATTCGAGGCAAAGATTTCCTCCTTCTAATCTAAGACGGGATGCTTTCTGCCTGGAACGCCGCCAAAGAATCTTGCTCCTTAGACGGGTTCCTCACATCACAGGAATTGCTGAAGACTCAGACAATTCCTGAAATGTCCAAATATATTTCTGAAGTCATTTAGGGCAGGAGCAGTTGCTCCATTCCTTGCAGACGGTTGGGACACCCACTCCCATCGTCCTCAGCCAACATAGCCAACAGCAAGAGACTTTTAGTTCAAAGGACGCTTAAGCTAGGATCTTGATATTTGAGAAGGGATTATCTTTTTTTTTTTTTGCTGTTTTGCAATCTTAATTAAAATTCTACTTTCCCAAGTTGCCTTAGAAAGAAGGAAATAATTTATTAACACCAGAAGAAAAAATGATATTCCTGAATCTTTGGGGAAAGTTCCTACACACAACAGTCAGTGCCTATGAGACCAAAAAAACATGTTTGCCAACATGTCTTATTTATTTATTTATTTATTTATTTATTTATTTATTTATTTATTTGGGTCGATTTATATGCCGCCCTTCTCCATGTTCTTCAACATGTTGGCAAACAATCTAGAGCGTGTTTCGCAACATAGATATAACTCATATACTGTATGAAACGAGCTATATATTTTCAGACGATCCCATCTGAAGTCGAAATATGCCTCGAAAAACTTGACAGGTTTTAAGGCAGGGATCTCCAAACTTGGCAACTTTAAGACTTATGGATTTCAACTCCCAGAATTCCCCAGCCGGCTAGCTGAGGAATTCTGGGAGTTGAAGTCCACAAGTCTTAAAGTTGCTAAGTTTGGAGAGCCTGTTTTAAGGCATACTTACATTTCATATGGGATCAGTCTTCCGTTTCTTTGCACGCGGTAGGAAAAGCGCGATGGGACTAGGGCAGACGCCCATCGGAAAGACTTGCTCTCCAGAACTGATCTCATTGAGGGATCTCTGATCAGACATAGTTTGAAAACTATGAAAGAGATACATCAATGGTGTATTTTTGAGGTCCCCTATTTAATAGCTCACTCTTCGGTGAAGGCCATCCTATAGTTTTACTATAATGGGTTAGCACCATAGGCAAACTTGGTGTTGGATCAGACCACTGTTCATCTAGAGCCATGATGGCGAACCTATGGCACACGTGCCACAGGTGGCATGTGGAGTCATGTTGCCTGGTACGCCAGCTCAGCTCTGTCAGCTGATTTTTGGCCCTTTTGGGCCCACCAGAAGAGGGCCTGGGGGGGCAGGGGAAGGCCCGTTTTTCTTTCTCCCTGGCTCCAGATCCTCTCTATGCATCTGGGGAGGGCGAAACGGCCCGTTTCTCAACTTCCGGCCTCCGAGGGGGTGGGGAAGGCTGTTTTCGCCCTCCCCAGATGCATAGAAAGGATCTGGAGTCAGCTGAGAAAGAAAAATGGGCCTACCAGGCCATCGCGTGCCAGGAGTGGGGGGTGAAGGGTCACGCTCGCATGTGCGTGGCAGGGCACATAGAATTATGGGTGTGGGCACACGCACAGGCAAACCTCCCCCACCCCACCCCTTCCTGGCACGCGATGGCAAAAAGGTTAGCCATCACTGATCTAGAGAAAACGTCTAGAGCAAGGGTGTCAAACTCCAGATCTGTGGACCACAGGGACACCCTGGAAACAGCGAAGGACCGGCCCGCAGGGCCTCTGCCAGCAAAAAGGGAGCTTGGGAGGGCCACCGGAAGCCCTCCCGAGCTCCGTTTTCGCTGGCAGAGGGTTGCAGGAGGCCATCTCAGCCGAAAACGGAGATCGGGAGCCTGTTTCCGCTGGCCGAGCTCTCAGGCCACCACAGGCGCCCCCCAACATGAGTGACTTCAAGCTGGCCATGCCCAACTACTGGTCAAACACAACCCTCGGGTTTGACACCCCTGATCTAGAGTCTTCCTTGGTCAGCAGTCATTCTCCAGCATGAAAACAGGCACCTCTGACAGCCCTTGCTAGGTTGCCAAAAATCAAACCAGGATCTTCTGCAACAACTTCAAATGTCGTCTTCCCATAGATAGGTGCTTTGAGGGTCATTGAGCATCATGTATCTCGAATTCACATTATGTGCAGATTTGGAGGGAACGGGCTATAAAATTAAAGGCATAATAAAAAAAACAACAACGGGAAGGAAGTTATTTTTATTTTATCTCTAGGTTTTTGAAAAGATTATTTCGATCCCCTTTCCCAAGTCTGCACTATCCTCCCTTACTTAATATTGAGGATACTCGTGAATTGAAAGGGTGAATTGTCTTAAAATGCTCTGTATTTGGCAGGCATTTTTCAGGGTTGTTCACCGCTCTGGATTCCATGGTTTTAAAAAAAAGTGCTTGGCAAGGGAATTAAGGGATCTGTCAGCAGCTCCTTAAATGAGTTTTCCAAGACTTGCTGCAGCTGCAAACAGCTGTCATGCAAACTTAGGGAAAGGGGTAGCAGTTTGGGGGAGTGGCAGATGGGTGCTAGAGTTGTCCATCTCCACCTCACCCCCAATGTGCTCCCACGTACTGCAAAATCCTAGCATATTCTAAGCAGTGGTGAAATCTAAAATTTGTTACTACCAGTTCTGTGGGCATGTCTCGGTGGGAAGGGTAATGTGACTGCGTGGGCGTGGCCAATTTTTAAAAAACTTTTAAAACCATTTTTTTCTTTTAAAACCATTTTTTTCTGAAGACAGCGAAGAGGTTGTAAAAAAATGCTTTCAAAAGGCTCTGACGATCCCAGCTGAGTTGCCTGATCGACAGAGGCTTTTTTTTTTCTTTTAAATGCCTCTGACGATCAGGCAATTCAGCTTGGATCGTCAGAGGCATTTAAAAGAAAAAAAGCCTCTGATGATCGCACAGCTCAGCTGGGCATGGGGGGGAGGTGTGTGCAGAGATTTTTGCTACCGGTTCTCCGAACCACCCGCCTCCATCGCTACCGGATCAGGCGATCTGGTCTGAACCGGGAGCATTTGACCCCTGCGATGTTTCCATTCTCCACGCCACTTTAACGTATTCTAAAGAAATTCCCTGTTTCGTTGTCCCAGATATGCATCACCGCAATACTAATTCTAGTGATACGGTTTGTATTCAGAATATTTACTGGGATAGCTTTTCCCGTTTTACGCTTTTAGATACTTCCTATCTATCTCCATCACTTTTCCTTCAAACGGTTGAGTTACGTTGAGGTTTAGAAGTGCTTTGGCACATCAACAAAGTTGTTCTGCTCCTATTTGAGAACGGACAGAGGATCAGTGTGAATAAAATGAACTCTCAAATTTGTAGGGTAGCACCTGATTTTGTATGTAATTAGGAGAAAAACTGAGGAGATGGCTGTTGACGATGCTTGGAGAACAGCTGCCAGCCAGGGAGGTGACATAACATGTCCATCTGTTAGAACATTCCTCCAGATGGTTAAAAAAAACCTTCCTGAAATGTTTTTTTTCCTTCCCTTTTTTTCTTCATAAAAGTTGGCCCGTGTTTACCCATCACCTAATTAGCCTCATCAAATAAAACGCCTTGACCCAAATTACACAAGACCTCCGTGTTACATTTCCAGCACTAAAAGAAGGGAAAAAATAAAAGATTAAAACAAAATTCTCTGCTTCTGTCTAGCTTTACTGTATAAAATTAAATAGATTCATTTTAGGTAGTTAATCACGAACGATTGTGCTCTCTCTCTCTCTCTTAAGTTGGGACACAGCCCAGATTCCTTTGATTTGAGAATTAAGCACCCTTGAACGAAGCTTCAGTTTTGAATAAATATTTACAAAATTGCACTAGGAATAGACTTCCTGAATGGGGTTGAGGACTGGTTGGCGGAGAATTCCCATCACCCAGTACTTATAGCACAATCGAATCATTCAATATCTCATGAGCCACTCGATTGGCTCATTCAATATCTTACGAGCCACTTGATTGCGGTACACTTCACAGCCTCTGTTCAGAAAAGAAGTAATTTCTCTCCATGTTTTTAGACCTTTATTATTGTAGTTGTAGCAGGGTGAAATCCGGCCGGATCTATCCGGATCGTACGAACCGGTAGCACCAGCGGCGGGAGGCTCCACCCATCCGCCAGGACGTTATTACATCCCGTTTTTGACCCTCTGCTCCCGCGTGCTCCCGTTCCCAAACCGGTAGCAAAGGCAAGTGGATTTCACCGCTGTGTAGCAGTAACTTTTTTGTAGCCGTACTGCAACAAACGTCGTAGTAACTTTTACCTGCTTATCACATAGTCTGTTCGTTTTTTAGGTAGCAGAGAACATTCTCGTGTCACTTTGGGTATGAAATGGAGAAACATTTTTCTCCATTGATTGAAATAAATTGATGACAATCTCACCACTCCTCCTGCTGCTGTTTTTCTCACATTCCGGCTGGAGAAAGCGTGATACAAATCCAGCCTCAAATGGCATTAGGGTTTCTTAGCGTACACATACAAAGCTGGGCAGCCTCTAAATACCGACAGCATTTCCTGGAGCAAGTGACGTTTAACAGTTGGATAGAAATTGCAATAGGCAGGGCGACGCGGAGAAGGGGAAAATCAACAGCAGAGAAAAAGCCTTATTATTAATGCTAGCAGCATTTGTGGCACAGTACAGCACACAGCAAACACTACACCATTGGCCTCACAGCTGGGCACTTGGAAAGTTCCAAAAGTTGTGCCAAGAATAATAATAATAATAATAATAAAAACCACCCAGAGTCCTGAAGTTTCCCCATCACCTCCATGGAAATGCTTCTTCAATTGAAGACCTGACTTTATTGGTTCTTCTATACTTCAAATTTGGGAGGCTGGGATTCTGGGAATATGTCAGTAATTTAACACGGGGTTGAAAGGAGCCAGCCTCATCAAACAACCATCAAGCTCTGTTATGGAGCTTGTGGGTGGAATTCCTTCTGTGACAGGTTCAACCTTCTTCCACCCAACCTTCTTTCTGCATTTGATTTGCCCAGAGAACCACAACTGCACATTTTGCTTTGGAATCACTTAGATTTCAGAAGCTTTGGAGCATCCAGTTTTGGTCACCATATAAAAAAAGATGTCGCGACTCTAGAAAAAGGGCAGAGAAGAGCAACCGGGATGATGAGGGGACTGGAGGCTACAACATAAAATGAATGGTTGCAGGAACTGGGCACGGCTAGTCTAATGAAGAGAAAAAAAGGACCAGGGGAGACATGATAGCAGTCTTCCAATGTTTGAGGGGCTGCCTCAGAGGGGAGGGGGTCAAACTATTATCCAAAGCACCCGAAGGTCAGACAAGGAATAATGGATGGAAACTGATCAAGGAGAGATTCAACCTGGAAATAAGGAGGAATTTTCTGACAGTGAGAATAATCAACCCATGGAACAGAAGCTGCCTTCAGAAGTTGTGGGAGCTTCACCACTGGAGGCTTTCAAGAAGAGATTGGACTGGCATCTGTCAGAAATGGTGTAGGGTCTCCTGCTTGGGTGGGGGGTTGGAGTACATGACCTACAAGGTCCCTTCCAACTCTGTTAATATGAATCTATCTAAGATGATCAAAGACCCGGAGACTAAAACACATGAAGAACTGTTGCAGGAACCGGGCATGGCTAGTCTAGTGAAGAGAAGGACCGGGGGAGACATGATAACAGTCTTCCAATGTTTGAGGGGCTGTCACAGAGAGGAGGAGGGTCAAGCTATTTTCCAAAGCACTCGGAGGCAATCAAGGACTAATGGATGGAAACTGATCAAGGAGAGATTCAGCCTGGAAATAAGGAGACATTTTCTGACCGTGAGAACAATCAACCCATGGAACAGAAGTTGCCTTCAGAAGTTGTGGGAGCTTCATCACTGGAGGCTTTCAAGAACAGACTGGACTGCCATTTGTTGGAAATGGTGTAGGGTCTCCTGCTTGGGCTGGGGGTTGGACTGGATGACCTACAAGGTCCCTTCCAACTCTGTTAATCTAATCTACAGTCCTCCTGCTCATCATCTCTGCTCCACAGGAATGCAACCAAGGTTCTCCTGCAGATAGCTGAACTGCAGGGAAATGCGATCATTAATTGCAGGCAAGCTATCGGTGAAAACCTTTCCACCACAATCAACTGGTTTACAGTCAACATTCTCCCAAGCTTACTGAGGGATGCAACAGTCTGGAAACTAACCAGAATTATGAAGAACACATTGCAGGCAGGTATCTAGGAATGTCGAACTCACAGAGTTGAATGTTCCCCACCAGTCACGTATGTCAGCTCACACGAGGCTTGATAAATCGCCCCCCCAGCGTGCTGCTTGCTAGACTGCCAAAATCCATTCCAGAATAGGAATGGTTGAGGTGTTGCATTTTTGAAACACTGGTTTGCATGATCTTGGGCTTTTATTTGGCTGGATAGATTTGGAGGCTGGCTTTGTTGGAGGCTCCAAAGACCCACAAAAATAATAATAATTTTTTTTTAACTCCTCTGTCTCTTCTTTATTTCTCTTTGGGTTCTCAGTAGATGTCCTTCTCAAGGTAACAAGAGTATCTTACGGAAGTTGGCTCTGTGTGTGTGTTTGTTTGTTTGTTTTTTCCCCTTCAAGTCAACCCTGGAATGGGAAAGGCCTTTTAAATGTGGGGCTGGTTTTCTTCTAGGCCTCGGGCTTCTAACTTGCTGCTATGAAATGAATTCTCTTTAAGATCTCAAGCCCAGATCTTAACCGGCCAGTGGAGAGTAAAGAAGGAAGGTCCAGAATTTCTTGACGTTCAAGTTAGACAGAACTTCTCAAAGTTCCTTGCGGAAAGAAAGGATGCTATCGGCAGCTTTGCCCTGATAAAGGAAACACTCGCTCACACAACCCAAGAAAACCCATAGAAACAAAAAACTCCTTGTGATGGAGGCCAAGCCTTCAGCGTAAAGAGGGTGGCTGGCAGATGTGAGGAGCAGCTGTCAAGAGCAGGTCTAACCTGTCTCAGGAAGCCGGTTCCCGGTGATGGACTAAAGGCATGGGCACGTTGAGACTGCACAGAGATGTGGGGAGTGGCTGCAAATGAATCTTTCTCCTTACAGGCCAAGAGAAGTTCTCACTGTTCATTCTGGAGCAAGGGTCTTCAACCTTGGCAACTTTAAGCCTGGAGGATGTCAACTCCCAGAATTCCTGGCTGGAGAATTCTGGAAGTTAAAGTCCTCCAGGCTTAAAGTTGCCAAGGTTGGAAACTTCTGTTCTGGACGATGCCCCAACCTGCTTGCCAGGGTTACAAGCTTAAAGCCGTAATGAATGGCACATTAGGTCTCTAAACAAGGAGGTGTAAATTGTGCAGCTGTCATTGTCCTTGGGACGCCCAATGTTTACCGCACCTCCTGGCTCCTGAGATCAAAATCTGAAGTTAGTAGCAAAGAGGGGAGAAACTTTCAGTCTGTGGGAAAAAGAACGAAACTGAAGGGAAGGAGACAAAGCTGTGTAAAAGGCAGAGAGATAGGTAGTCCTTGACTTATGACTACATGTGAGCCCAGAATTGTGGTCATTAAGTTGTTGATGTTTTTTTAAGCAAGGCACCCATGAAATCCTGGCTCATTGCAGTCATTATGCAGAGCAGGGGTGCCTCAGGGACCAGGGGTTGCTGAACAGATAGTCGTAAGTCAAGGACCACCTGTATTACGCTTGTGGCTTATTTCAGGTATGATGATAAAAGCCGGTTGTTCTTCCCTAAGCCATTATTTGGGGTGAGTCATTGTTCCTAGGTACATCAACTACGGGTTGCAAACCGCAACAGCTAAATTCACACAACCCACGGAATCACAAATCGCATTCCAGTTTAATGGGAGCTGCGAATTTAAGGTATGAAAGCTGGAACTATCATCTTATGAGTCGTCCTGCATTGTGGGAAAGAAAAACGAATCACAATCAAAGCAGGAGCGGGGTGGAGAAAGCATTCAACGGTGAGTGATTTGTCTTTCCGCCTTACTCTCCTGCCTGCGCCATGGAGGTGGCTCCAGCTTCCCCGTCTTCTGAACCCCCAACCCAGAATGAGACATGGGTATGAGCTTTGCCAGCCCAGATCTGTAACCGGTTATCATGGGAAAACAGGGAAGCCAAGCTGGGTATGTTTGCATAGCAACATCGCCCATCAGCATTCCAGTTTCTAGTACACCTGTTTGAACCTGTTGTTCCTTCTCCCTTTCTTCTTCTTCAGTCAAAATAAATAAAGGACATAAATAATAAGGTGTCACACCCCGTGGAAATGAGCAAAAAAAAGAAAGAAAGAATCTCTACGTAAGAATCCCTTCTTCGCTTTCCTTCTCTCGCCTACATGCCCATCCCAGCTTTAAGCTTATTTTACCCGCTGCTCGTTTCTTTAAGCTTATTCTACCCACTGTTAGTTGAGGTGGTCTTTGTGCCAGCTGAGCTTTTAACCCAGGAGAAACCTTCCTGAAGGTGGTGGGGAGACGTCTTCTTCCAACCTTCAATGTACTTCTTTAAAAAAAAAAAAAAGTAAATCATGCTACGGATGAAGAGAACCCATGGGGGAAAAAAAATACTGTACACGGTATGGAGAAATGGGCCAAAAGGAGCAAGTTGCAAGATGGAGTAGCACTTCTAGATAGTATATTTTGCTTAGGAAACTACGTGTTCATCAGACTGGCCGAACTCCCTGCTGTGTGCGCAAAGTGAAATGTCCGTTTGAGTTTGGGTTGGGAAACGGAAGAGAACGGGATGGTTTTCCTGGAGAAGGGACCTCAAAAAATTGAGGGCTGTCCTTAGTCAACCTGGAAATGCAGGTCCTTCAATGTTGACCTGCTTGCATGCTCTCTCTCATTCTCATTCTCTCATCCCAAGTCCAAAATCTTATTTACAATGGCAAGGAAACATGCAAGAAGAGAAGGGGAGGGGGAGAGAAATGAGGCAAGGGCAGCAAAAAGGGGGACTTCTCCAGCCTCCCCTTCACCCAAGGGGGACCCCCGTTCTCAGATAGTCTCACATGTACATTGAAGGGCCATGGGGCTCACCAAGACCTCTCATATTGGCGTTTGTTCCATCTCCCTCCCTCCCCACCCTTCCCTCTCTCTCTAGCGCCCCACGCTGATGTTACAGGTCTTGCAGCTCGGATCCTTTTTGGCATCGGCCGTCGAGAGGCTCATGAGCTGGTGGCCACTGATCTCCCCCAGAACTCCTAGACTGAGGTCAACTGGCTCCGTATAGATGATCTCCAGGATGACATCCTGGGCATGGCGGTAGACGAGCTCGCCGTCCTCCACGCTACAGGTCAAGAACTTGTTGCAGGAAATGTCCAACTGGGGCAGTCGCTCCCGACAGAAATTATCTCCAGCAGAACCTTTCGGCGCCAGCACCAGAATGACATAATGGTAGGCAGTGTACATACAGTAGAGATCCGCGAAGTAGAGGTTGGTGTTGGGACCGAAAAGGCGCTGTGCGGGTACCTGGAAACGATAGCGGCCGTAAGGGGAGTCTTGGGGAGGCTGGCCGTTGTTGAACTCGGTATTACAGCTGAAAAAGATGCCATGGAGCATGCCACTGGTGGGCGAACCATGGCTGCCACTGTTGTCCTTCAGGTACGGCTTCATGACGTCTCCACAATGCATTCTGGCCAGAAGGGGAGACACGGATAGTTAGGAAAGGGATGAGGTTAGGAAGCAGGCCAACCTGACATTTGGGAGGAAACCAGGTAGGCATTATGATACGGTGATAGGCCTTCATAGCTACACGTCCACCGAGACCTTCCATTTTCAGGAAGTGAATACTAGCGACTGTTCATTAAACAGTAGCTAAGAGCAGGTTAAGTGGCTTATGGCCTCGGATAGCCTCCATTTTCCTAGCTCGGGGAGGAGAAATCGGAGTTAGCATGGTAATTAAAGAATTAAGGTTTCAATTTAGAAGACCTACATCTAAATCCTATTTCGGCTGCATAGTTTGCTAAGTGACTCTCAACCAGGCACAATGTCATAGCTTACCTATGCTACAAGGATAAACAGGAAGCAAAAGCATTTTGAATCTATCTTAAGCCCTACTAAAACTCTCCTATCTGGAACCTTTTAACTGGGCAAGCTGGTATACTGTAAGGCAAAACATTTCGAAGCAAGGTACCTCAAAGTGGACCAAATTTCAGAATGCATCCAAAATCCAGGTTCCCATGACTCCTTAGAATTGAGATTCGGCAAAATTTTATAAAACATTTTATGGCGTAAAAGCATAAACATTTTACAACACAATACAAAATGTCATAAATCATTGTCTGTGATCAACTCAGGGGTGAAATCCAGCAGGTTCTAACAGGTTCTGGAGAACTGGTAGCGGAAATTTTGAGTAGTTTGGAGAACCGGCAAATACCACCTCTGGCTGGCCCTGGAGTGGGGTGGGAATGGAGATTTTGCAATATCCTTCCCCCAGGAGTGGGGAGGGAATGGGGATTTTGCAGTATCCTTCCCCTGGAGTGGGGTGGGAATCAGTGGTGGGTTGCTCCCGGTTCGCACCGGTTCACAAGAACCGGTAGTAAAAATTTGTAGTAGTTCCGAGAACCGGTAATAACATTGGCTGGCCATGCCCCCGAACCGGTCCCCAGTCCGGTCGCTGCTCACTTACCCCGCCTACCTCATCAGAGGCTTTTTTTTTTTACTTTTAAAAGCATTTTTTCTACAACCGCTTCGGCCAAAAAAATGCTCTTAAAAGTAAAAAAAAAAAAGCCTTTGATGATCCTGCGGCTCAGCTGGGATCGTCAGAGGCTTTTCAAAGCATTTTTTCTACAACTTCTTCAGCCGAAGAGGTGGTAAAAAAAAATGCTTTGAAAGGCCTCTGACGATCCCAGCTGAGTTGCCTGATCGGCAGAGGTTTTTCAAAGCATTTTTTTCTGCAACCTCTTAAGGTTGTAGAAAAAATGCTTTTAAAAGTAAAAAAAAAAAAAAAAGTGGGCCACGCCCACCCAGTCACATTAACCCCCACCAAGCCACTCCCACAAAATAAGCCACGTCCACAGACCCGGTAGTAAAAAAAATTTAGAACCCACCCCTGGTGGGAATGGAAATTTTGCAATATCCTTCCCCTGCCACGCCCACCAAGCCACTTCCACAGAACTGGTAGGGAAAAAAATTTGGATTTCACCCCTAGATCACCCCTGGATCAACTGCTGATGTTTGACGGTGCTATACAGTTGAACGCGGACTACTTTCAAGGCAGATACGTCTCTGAATATCCCACTGAAATTTTAAGAACTTTTCAAGAAACTCTGCCACTGTTGAAAGCATTGAGGGATTTGGTAAGGCCATATCCCTGAAACGATGACCAAAGGGGGTAAGAATTGTCTAGTCATGACTTCAGTCTTGGAGGAAGGATAAAGTCAGATCAGATTGGGTAGCGATTATGAGAGATCATGTTATGTGCTGGTTCTGAATTTTATGCTAGGAGCAGGAAAGAATTAATACAATCTCTGAACTTCAAAAGAAAACATCTGCAGGAAGTTCTTGTGAAGCAACCGAAGCATGGGTAGGATTTACTTACTTTCCCTAACGATTTGCAAATATGCGTGTGGCACATTTGCTTTGCTGGCACGTGCGTCTTTTACGCATGCCTCAAAAACTTGCCTAAATAGGATGGCATAGAGCTGAGATGGGTGAGCGGTTGGGCAGGCTCACCCGTGATTTCTGCTACCAGTTTGGGCGAACCAGCCTGAACAGAAGAACGGGAAGGGAGAAGATGAAATGAATTATCTCAATTCATTGGAAAGACAGGCTAACATTTAATGTCAGTGAGTGAATCAGTATGGGAACAATGAGGAATGTCAGTGTGACTATATATTCATTTCTCAGGGAGAATTTGAAACAAGGTTTAAACTGTAAAAGATAAGATACTCTTAGCACATTTTTTAAAAAGGGGACGATGGATGGATATAAAAATATGGACGCTAGGATTAGCATTTTCTTGATGAGGTTTTCTTCTTCCTGCTCCAAGCCATGACTATCAGGTCAGAAGAGTATCCTCTGAGCTGGTGTTCTCAACCTTGGCATCTTTCAGATGTGTGGACTTCAATTCCCAGAGTTCCCCAGTCATTTCCCCATGGCTGCGGAATTCTGGGAGTTGAAGTCCACACATTTGAAAGCTGCCAAACACTAGATTTTGGACTACAGAAATGGCAACCGAAAGCATCTAGGCCCGTGATGGTGAACCTATGGCACATGTGCCACAGGTGGCACGCGGAGCCCTGTCGCCTGGCACGCCAGCTTAGCTCTGGGAGTCTCTGGAGGCTGGGGACAGCAAAAAACATCACTTCCTGTCCAACTGGAAGTTGGGAAATGGGCCGTTTCGGGCCTCCGGAGGGCCTCCGAGTGGGTGGGGAAGGCTGTTTTTGCCCTCCCCAGATGCATAGAGAGGATCTGGAGCCCGGTGAGAAAGAAAAATGGGCCATCACGTGCCAAGAGCGGGGGGAGGGGTGGGGGTTCGCGCATGCATGCGCGGGGTGAATAGAATTATGGGTGTGGGCACACATGCGCACGAACCTCCCCTGCCCCCCCCTTCTTGGCACGTGATGGCAAAAAGATTAGCCATCACTGATCTAGGCCAAACCCAGCTCTCATAATGAAGTCACTTCTGCTCCACCTCCAAACCATGTTTTTATCATAACTATCAGGAGCAGGGGTCTCCAACCTTGGCAACTTTTAAGGCGTGTGGACTTCAACTCCCAGAGTTCCTCAGCCAGCTTTGCTTCAATTCTGGGAATTGAAGTCCACACGTCTTAAAGTTGCCAAGGTTGGCAACTTTGCTGGCTGAGGAATTCTGGGAGTTGAAGTCCACACGTCTTAAAGTTGCCAAGGTTGGCAACTTTGCTGGCTGAGGAATTCTGGGAGTTGAAGTCCACACGTCTTAAAGTTGCTAAGTTGGCAACTTTGCTGGCTGAGGAATTCTGGGAGTTGAAGTCCACACGTCTTAAAGTTGCCAAGGTTGGAGACCACGATCAGGAGGGAAAGAATTTGGATGAAGAAGACAAGCGATTGCCAAACATGGGGTGGTGGATGTCATCGACGTTGACCCCCTCCCCACCTCACCCACACTTGGGCTCTCCCATGCCTTCATGGATTCGGGGGCTTTGCCGACACTTACCTGACATACTGGAAATACTCTTTAGTGTGATTCCGATAGAAAACCGTGAACCGCAGCATCCTCCCCGAGATGAGCTCGGCTTTCTCTTGCAGCTGGGCCAGATGTTCTTTAGCATAGTCTGCAAGGAACAAACATTCAGAGGTTCAGATATTTTAAAGCAGGTTTTTCATGCGACACCTCTCCGTGGCAAATTGCCCCTTCCACATGTCGCCTTCTCGTTGCTTCTTTTTGCCTCGAGCGGGTTTCTCCTGCCTCCCTATCACTTCTCCCTCCCGGCTGGCACACCCTTTCCCTCCTACACAGCCAGGTTTGCTGCATGGCAAAATCTGGATATACCACTTTTCAGCCTGTTCCAATTCCCATCGGCTTGGGCCTTTGTCTCCCAGCCAGCTCAAAGAAGTGGTTTTTCTCTCCTCGACTCTTTGACTTTGAAGACTTCCAAGAGTTGCGTATGTGGCTTGCTTTTGCGTGCAGTAAGTAAGGGCCTTCCAAACTCGATTGCACAAGTCCTTAAAAGGCAGAGCTCCGGTGGGCAGATAAATGGAGAGGAATCGCTCTCTATCCCAGGGAATGAATGAAGAGACTGGGCAACCATTTGTCTACAACGGGGGTCAGCAACCGGTGGCTCTGGAGCCGCATGTGGCTCTTTTACCCCTCTGCTGTGGCTCCCGCTCACTCAAAATATGCGTCGCAACCGCCAATGTGCGACACCCGCCGACATGTGATTTATTGAGCTTTTCAACCCCCGGTAGGCCAACCATGGATAAATCCAAGAAAAGAAAAGTTTCAGAAGAAAACAGAATGTAGTTTCATTCAACTACATATGCTAGATTTGTAGCCGCTCAAGAAATAGTCAGGCACGGGGAAGGGTTCTGTGGCTCCCGGTGTTTTCTTTTTTGTGGGAAACGGGTCCAAATGGCTCTTTGAGTGTTTAAGGTTGCAGACCCCTGCTCTAGAATAGGGATGTCAAACTTGATTTCACTGAGGGCCGCATCAGGGTTGTGTTTGACCTCGGGGTGGGCGTGGCCAGGGTGGGCAGGGCCACCATGACATCACTTGTGTTAGGAGTGCCTGTGATCACCCTAGTGCTCTGCCAGCAAAAATGGGCTCCTGGGCTCCGTTTTGGGCCGCGACGGCCTCCTGCAGCCCTCTACCACTGCAAACGGAGTTTCGTTTTCACTGGCAGAGGGCTGCAGGAGGCCATCGCAGCTGAAAACAAGCTTGGGACGGCCCGAGCTCTGTTTTTGCTGGCAGAGGCACCACCGGCTGGTCCTTCACTGTTTCTAGGGTGGCCCTGTGGGCCAGATCTAAGTATCCAGCCTAGGCGCCTTGAGTTTGAATGTTTTAGGGACTTCTGCTTAAGCAGAAGTCTAAAAGGCCTCCAAGGTCCTTTAGACTAAAAGACCTCCAAGGTCCTTTCCCACTCTGTTATTCTGTATTCTGTAAAACTCTGAGAGAAGAATGACAGGTAGAGGTACTTCCAATTTATGTTGGAAAGGTGCCGTCGGCCAAACAGTGTCGACTGGCGTCCCCCAGGGGGAGACCCTTCTCTGTGGGGGCACCTACAATCTGGAACGAGCTCCCCCCGGAGATACGGAGGATCCCGGATCTGTGCACCTTCCATCGCGCGCTTAAGACTTTTTTATTTCATCAAGCTAGCCTGGCCTAAATCTTCTCCCCTTTTTAAATGTAAATTTTAATTTGTTTTTAAATCATGGGGTATTTTAAAGTTGTTCAGCCAAATTATTTAATTCGTTTTTATTCTATTTTAAATTTTTGTATTTATTGTGTTTTATCCTGTGGCTGTTCACCGCCCTGAGTCCTCCGGGAGTAGGGCGGTATAGAAATTTAAATAAATAAATAACACAAAGGGACATTTTATCATTTGGGGGGGATGTGTAAAGAAGTTAGAAGAGTCTGGATTCAAATACGCACACCAAATTGGAGGATTTAAAAAAATAAAATAAAATTTTTCTTTGTGGGACTGGGGGGTGGGGTGAGGGAAGTCATGGAACTCTGTTTTTTGTATAAATGCAGCAGGATTATCATATGTCCCAAAGATGGAAAGATTCAGCACTAACTCGAATGGAGGAATAGTTAGTGAAGATGATGGAATTTGCTGGGATGGCTCAATTTTTATTTTTATTTTTTAAATTTGATTTATATGCAGCCCTTCTCCGGAGACTCAAGGCGGCTTACAATGCGCTAAGCAATAGCCTTCATTCTTTTGTATATTTATACAAAGTCAGCTTATTGCCCCCACAAACTGGGTCCTCAATTTACCTACCTTAGAAAGGATGGAAGGCTGAGTCGACCTTGAGCCTTGGCGAGATTCGAACCTGCAGTAATTGCAGGCAGCTGTTCTTAATAACAGGGTGCTTTAGACCACTGTACTACCAAGGCTCTTTGACGACTTTGATCAGACAAAAGATAATATCTGACTTTATTGCTAGTTGGGAAAGTTCTTGTGGACATTTTGCACAAAATAGAAAAAAAGAATGAATGAATGAAAATGAATGAAAAAAAATGAACGGTTTTGATGATTAGACAGAATAGATTACAGAAAAAAGGAGAATCATGTTGTAACCCTAGAGTAAGAGGTAAATGTATGATAGGAGCCCTGGTGGCACAGTGGTTAGAATGCAGTATTGCAGGCAAACTTTACTCACGATGCAGAAAATCTACCAGGTAGGCATGGAAATCTCTATTGGTCCTTTCTCTTGCCCACTCACCTCCTGTGCAGAATTCGACAGTCTCACTCCATCCAGAGACGAGGTACTCTCCATCACTTTGCTTCACTGCAGTCTGCACTGCCACACTGTACTCTGTCCGGGGACTCAGAAACCAGTGGCCCCTCACCGTCATTGGCAGGGCCACTGCCTTAGCTACCAGCTTGGTAGGGACATCCTGCAGAAAGAAAAGAGGCAAGCCGTGTCAGGAAGAAAACTATATTTGGGCCATGGACTTTGCTGGGCCAAGACCAGGGGTGAAATGTTCCCGGTTCAGATTGGATCGCCTGATCCGGTAGCGATGGTGGCGGGTGGATCGGAGAACCGGTAGCAAACATCCCTGTGCATGAGTGCAAATCAACATCTGAATTACTGCAGATCATGGCTTCAAAGAGTCTAGTTTAGAAAGAATCTAATTAGGAACTCTTGGTTACTACTAAACAAAAATTCCTACCAAAATAGATCCAGTGAGTTGCTGCAAACTGTCCAAACATATTTTATACCATAGAATTTGAGTTCCTGATGTATAAAGGGAAAGGTTCCCCTTGCACATATGTGCTAGTCATTCCCGACTCTAGGGGGCGGTGCTCATCTCCGTTTCAAAGCCGAAGAGCCAGCGCTGTCCGAAGACGTCTCCGTGGTCATGTGGCCGGCATGACTCAATGCCAAAGGCGCACGGAACGCTGTTCCCTTCCCACCAAAGGTGGTCCCTATTTTTCTACTTGCATTTTTTACCTGCTTTTGAACTGCTAGGTTGGCAGAAGCTGGGACAAGTAACGGGACTTCACCCCATTATGGGAGCTCCTGATGTATACCCAGTGCATAAATATAGTTTTAAGGACCCAACCAGATTTCCTATCTTATTTTTCCCATTTTTACATTTCAATGAAATGTCCTCTCCTCCCCAAAAGAAAAATAACTTCCAGATACTGGAGAAAGTAATTTCTCCCACTCTGTTTTGTGACTAACACCTATATTATGTATGCCTTTGTAAATATTTAAGCAGCTTTTACCAATATGCCCTACCTTTCCATTACTTTTCTGCTCCCAGACAAATTGTTCCATCAACAAAACAAAAAACACAACAACACTCTTCCATTTGAAGTACCCATCAGTCGGGGGTGTTGCAAAAGATTAGTCATTTGAAGGATAACTAAAAATTAGTTGGTTGAAAGTATATTCCATTTAGGAGGAAGCTGACTCATAAGCCAAGTTCTATTACCTTTAGTTCAATCTAAGCATCTCTTAAATTTCTCTAAAAGCAAAGTTTGCTTTTAAGGTTAGACGGACATGGGACTTCACAAACATTGTCCTGACATCTTTCTCTTTTTGGATGACACAGAAAAAAACAACATCCTGTTTAGATCAGTCCTTCTGAAAACACTGTATTAGTATTGCATCCTTTTATCCCCCAGAAATTCGTAAAATCTCTGATCTCCGTGTATCAATATAAAGATTTTAATTGGTTTTAAATGGGATTTTAAATTCGGGGTTTTATAAATTGGGCCTATTATTTAATAATCTTAATTATTTTTAAATTTGGTCTGTTTTTGTGTTTTTAATTAGGCTGTACACTGCCCTGAGTCCTTCGGGAGAAGGGCGGTATAGAAATAAAATTAATAAATAAAATAAATAAATAAATAGTAGATGATTTTGACTGGTTCAGTGTCTTCACTCATCTACTCTAATCTGGCATCAACTGCTACTACAATTCTCAGTAAGATACACATCTAAGGGAACCAGATAAATTAGATATTGCTGTCCTACATTAACAAAAATGTGTATAATTATTCGGGGGTGCAAATATTTACCATATTTTTCGGAGTATAAGACGCACCATTTCCCCCCAAAAAACAGGGTGAAAATCTGGGTGCGTTTTATACTCTGAATGTAGCCCCACCCAGATTCTCAAACTGAGGTTTCAGAGGCTGAAAAAAGCATCAGAAACAAAGCTTCAGAAAAGAAGCCTCCAAACAGAGCTTCAGATAAAAAGCCTCCAAACAGAACATCAGAAAAAAAGCCCCCAAACAAAGCTTCAGAGGCTTTTTTTCTGAAGCTGTTTCGGAGGCTTTCAGAGGCAGAAAAAAAAGTTTTTTCTGAAACAGAGTTTAAAAAGTTTTAGAGGCAGAAAAAAAGCAAAAAAAAAAAAAAAAAGCAAGGCACAGAGCTCAGAACCAAGGAACCTGTTGCTAAAATTCACCTCTGGGAACAGCTGATTGGGGGTATTCTGGGAGGCCGATTTACCTGCCAATCAGCTTTTTTCTTATTTTCCTCCCCAAAAACTAAGGTGCGTTTTATACTCTGAAAAATACGGTAACTTAAAAAATAGTTTTCAAAATTTTTTTGGAGCTGCTGCTTGATCCTCTGCACAGGTCCCTTCTTCACTGGAACCGATGAAACTGCCTCTCCCACATGATGTAAATACAGGTAAGTCCTCCACTTACGACCACAACTGAGCCCAAAATTTATGTTGCTAAGTGAGACATTTGTTAAGTGAGTCTTGCCCCATTTTACGACTTTTCTTGCCACATTCATTAAGTGAATCGCTGCAAGTTGTTAAATAAGTAACACGGTTGTTAAGTGCCTTTGCTCCTCTTTTAAGCCTTATGGGAGGAGCCAATCATCTCCAGGCCTTACTCCTGAGTTGTCCCTTATGTTTTAACTGTTTGTGCCTTCTGGCAGCTCTGCGCATGCGCGCATCTTCTGATTTTACTCCCAAGTTGTCATTTTTTCTTCAGCTGTTCTTGCCTTCTGGCAGCTCTTTGCATGCGTGCACTAGGAACAGGCTCCTCCTTTTCCTCTGCCTCTCTGCTGTCCGACTCTGGGGGCTCCGGAGTCCGTGCATCACTCCCAGGTGGCCCTGGCCCTATCTCTGCCTCATCCGGGCCTTCCCCAGACTCTAGGACTGGCCCATGTTCCTTCCCAGCCTCCTCACTGTCCGATTCCGCTGCCAGCTCTGCAGGCTGCTGGCGGACCACAACACTCTACTACAGGGGTGTCAAACTGGATTTCTTCGAGGCCCAGATCAGCATTGTAGTTCTCCTCCACGGGTCGGCCGGAGGAGAGGAAACGGGATGGGACGGACACCTCCTGCAGCACCCTACTGGCAAAATGGAGCAGGTGGGCCATGAGGCGCCCTGGTTTGGCAAGCAAAGTGCTGCAAGAGCTCGTCCAGGCCTAAAACGGGGCACAGGGGAAGGCCTCACACAGCCACACGGTGCCCCGGGTTGGCTGCCAGAGGCACCGCAGGCCGGCCCTTTGCTATTTCCAGGCCGACACCGCGGACCAGATTTAAGCACCGGATTTGGCCCGCGAGCCTTGAGTTTGGCACCCGTGCTCTACTATGATTTGTTTTTTTTAAAAAACGAACTTTTCTCAAGTGTGTGGGCTGATCAAACACGAGAAGGAACACTTGAGGGAACACTGCTTTTAAGAGCGAACAAGGCCTCCCCAACGGGTTTTAATATTCCTCTGCAGCGTTGTTTCCGTGGCAACAGCATACACACAGAAGGAGCCCAGGAAAAAAAAAAAAAGCAGAGGAAACCATCTAATCGCAGGAAGGGGGGGAAAAAATAGTTAAATGTGAAACAGAATTTCCATAGCAACTAACCCCGCTAAGGAGCATCACAATTTGTGACTCCATTTCGAAGGGAGAAAATGTGAGCAACGTAACTTTTCTACAATGGTTCAGAATGGGGCTATTTGACTGATCCTTGGGCTACGTTTTGAAATTGCTTTCACAGGACGTCCTCGACTTTAACCACCATTATTGGGATGAGAATTTCTGTTATTAAACAAGGTGGCGGTAAAGCAATCGAAGTTATGACTGCAGAAATTGCTGCAGTTGTTAAGTGAAACACGGAGTCGTTAAGCAAAGCTGGCTCTCCCCCCTCCCACTTGACTTTGCTCAAGTCGCAAATGGTTATCCCATGATCCCAGAATGTTTCAACGATCATCAATACATCCCAGTTGCCAAGTGCCCAAATTCTGATCACTTTTTTGAGTGTCTTTATAAGTTCAAAAGGGACGCAGTGGCTCAGTGGCTAAGATGCTGAGCTTGTCGATCGAAAGGTCGGCAGTTCAGTGGTTCGAATCCCTAGTGCTGCGTAATGGGGTGAGCTCCCGTGACTTGTCCCAGCTTCTGCCAACCTAGAAGTTCAAAAGCACGTCAAAAATGCAAGTAGAAAAATAGGGACCACCTTTGGTGGGAAGGTCACAGCGTTCCGTGCGCCTTTGGCATTGAGTCATGCCGGCCACATGACCACGGAGATGTCTTCGGACAGCGCTGGCTCTTCGGCTTTGAAACGGAGATGAGCATCGCCCCCTAGAGTCGGGAATGTCTAGCACATATATGCGAGGGGAACCTTTAAGTTTGAAGAGTTACTCAATGAATGGGGTTAAGTCAAGGACTACCTGTATTATTCTACATCCTTAACTCAGGATCGGAGAAAGTTGAGATTTCCTTTTCCAGCAGGTACTGTTGTAATCAAAGTTAGCCTCCCGGATCAGTCAACTTCAGTTGGGGAAAGGAATTTTATTTTCTTTTATGCATGAGACCAATCGGGTTAAGAGATCTAAGAATTCCTAAACGATGTACAACTGTAATTCCTAACACCCTACACCAGGGGTGGGTTCTATTTACTACCAGTTCGCAGTGGGGCCACGCTTGCACAGGAGCAACCCACCACTGCCCTACACTCTGGGAAATGTAGTGTAGGAAGTTAGCACCCACCCTTCTCCTAGGAAAATGAGATATTTTAGGAAATATTAATTTCCATTAAAAACCATCTTTTGAAAGAGCCACCATGTTTCCAATGTCTTTCTCCCCAGAAGGACATTTCTTCCAACAGTAGTTCAGGCTAAGGATTGGATCTTATCATTCGTGAACTGAATGAACCGTTCTGAATGAACCAGTTTGCTGGGCCTGGTGGCTCAGCAGACTGATAGCATTGTGATTAACACCAGCTGTCTGCAATTACTGTAAGTTCGAATCTCGCCAAGGCTCAAGGTTGACTCAGCCTTCCATCCTTTCTCAGGTAGGTAAATTGAGGACCCAGTTTGTGGGGGCAATAAGCTGACTTTGTATAAATATATACAAAAGGATGAAGGCTATTGCTTAATGCATTGTAAGCCGCCTTGAGTCCCCGGAGAAGGGCGGTATATAAATCAAATAAAAAAAAAAAATCAGATACAGCCTTGACCACGAGAAGCAGATTTCAGGCACAAGTTTCCAGTAAGTCAAAGTTTAACAGATCTTGTTTTCTCTCTCCCCCTCTATTTTAAGAGTTGCTGGTAAATTTCCAGACAACTTTATGAACTATAAATGATTTTATTTTTTACCAGATTTGTTTTCAAGCAACCTGCGCAATACAAATGTGGCATTCCAATTGCCATCAGCCCTAAATGATGAGAGAATTCCATCTCACAAAACTCTAGTTTGGTTTAGAAACTACAATTCCCATCGTTGCCTGGGCTGGAAGAATTGCTAATCAATCACCTTAAGGACATAGTACAGACATGCTCATGGGGGCTTCCAAAGAGGAATTAGGTCAGTGGTGAAATCCAAATTTTTTTACTACCGGTTCGGTGGGTGTGGTGTGGCTTGGTGGGCGTGGCAGGGGAAGGACACTGCAATATCTTTCCCCGATTCCCTCCCCACTCCTGGGGGAAGGATATTGCCAAATCTCCATTCCCACCCCACTCTAGGGCCAGCCAGAGGTGGTATTTGCCAGTTCTCTGAACTGCTCAAAATTTCCGCTACCGGTTCTCTGAACTACTCAAAATTTCCGCTACCGGTTCTCTGAACTGCTCAAAATTTCCGCTACCCGTTCTCTGAACTGCTCAAAATTTCCGCTACCAGTTCTCCAGAACCTGTCAGAATCTGCTGGATTTCACCCCTGAATTAGGTTATATTGTTTACTCTTCATCCAAATATTATTCAGATGTTTAAATTAAAATTTAAACATTTAAATTTTAAAGCCTTTGAAAATTTAAATTTAAAGCCTTCTCAGAACATTAAGCACCTAAATCACAATAATAAATCAATTCTTAGCATCCCCAGAGTGGCCATGTTGGTTAGATATGAAGGCAGCTATCATTTGTATGGGGCTGTGGAGGAGAAGGTTGCATGTATGTGGGGCTGAAAACGCAACAATGGCAATTTTAGGAAAATGAAGACAGCTTTGTCCACCAGAGTTTGCAGTCCAACATAGACCAAGTTGGAAGGCTCCTAACTGGAGAGTACTGCTTCTAAGAAGGACTTCCACCAGCATGATCCAACAGGAGTAAAAAAAAAACAAAAAAAAGTTAGGAAGCAAAGGAATGATCAAGGAGAGACAAGATGCCGTAACGATTTCTGCCCTACTCCGCACACCAACATTTTACACTGCTCTAGTGGCTCACCCGGTGTTTGAACTTGTTGGAGCTTTTATTTTCCTTCTTGTTCAAATCGATGAAGTAGTGGGTAACCCTATCCAGGTCTCCAACATCCATGGACCAAGAAATTCGGAAGGAGTCACAGGTGATATTGTTGATCTCGATGCTGTGCGGGGTGGACAACAGCTCCATGATCCGACCGATTTGGCTCCTACAATTGAGACAGTGGAGAGAGGGTTAGCCAGATGGTTAGGTTTGCAGCAACCTCTCCGGTCTAGCCCCAAGAATGACCTAAACAATTCAGCCAAAATTCAGTTCTTTCTTTGCTCACACCATATAGACAGAATCTTGCCAGATTAAACCTGTACTTCTGTATCCCTAATGGATATACCTTGGGAGATTTTAGGGACTGACTAACTTAACAGATACAGTGGTGAAGATGCTGACCTAGAAACCAGGAGATTATATTTAACAGTTTAACAGAGTCGGAAGGGACCTTGGAGGTCATCTAGTCCAACCCCACCCTGGCCCAAGCAGGAGACCCTACACCATTTCTGACAGATGGCAGTCCAGTCTCTTCTTGAAAGCTTCCTGTGATGAAGCTCCCACAACTTCCATCCGTTGATTGCTCTCACTGTCAGAAAATTCCTCCTTATTTCTAGGTTGAATCTCTCCTGGATCAGTTTCCATCCATTGGTCCTTGTCTGGCCTTCGGGTGCTTTGGAAAATAGCTTGACCCCCTCCTCTCTCTGGCAGCCCCTCAAATATTGGAAGACTGCTATCCTGTCTCCCCTGGTCCTTCTCTTCACTAGACTAGCCATGCCCAGCTCCTGCAACCGTTCATCGTATGTTTTAGCTTCCAGTCCTCTAATCGTCTTGGTTGCACTTCCTCTGTCTCTCATCCAGCTCTGGGCTGTGCTACCTCTTGTCTCATCCCACTCCGTGCAATAGGAAACAGTCACTTCACTGTAGTCCATCACACTACCTCCCTTTTCATTGGCATAATCCATCACATCCTCTCTGGGATGTCTACCCCCCTTCCTAGAAAAATGCCCGCCTCAATGTAGTGCATCCTATCACTTCTCCTTCGTAGGCGCAGTCTATCACACAACCAGGACTTAAGGCAGGGAAGGGATCAGAAAAACTACCAATGCTGGATCAAGTGGCTTCTGAAGGATTAATACATGCAATGCCTAAACCATCCGGTCAGCGGTACGAGTAATGCATCCAAAGAAATCAGAACTCCAAGGCAGGAACGTTCCTCAAAGAACATATTTTATTGGATGCATCGTATCAGCACAGCTAGTGAAAACCAACTCTAATATTTTCCTGCGGTTACCGTGTAATTAAAACGGCAAAAATTTCCCTCCCCAGGTGTCACAGATCACATTGTCCAATCAAAGCTGGTGGGGGGCTCCCTCGATCACTTCTGCTCCAACTATCACCTTTTGGGATGACCTTGGTTCCCAAGGGAGAGCTCATTTTGCCTACATGACATTCTAGCTATTTCCCCCTCATCCTCTCCCCGTAGTGCGTGGCAACTGTGAAGTTGGCTCCAGCCAGGTTCGATTCAGAGTTGACACATCCTTTTTGACAAGTGGATGCTGAAGGTTCACACATATTTTTGTGTGAAGAAAACAGTATTCAAGGCACCAATGATTTTTTTTTTCTCTTTCTCATTCTTGGGGAGACTCTGAAATCGAAAGGATGGGGAGGGGGAAGTCTGCATGCAGTGGTCTTGACTCATAAAGAAAGCAACTTCCTTCTCACACTTCTCTCCTTCCTCCTTCCCAATCTGTTTTTTTCTTTTTCTTTTGGGATTACATGTTTTCCGTTGGAAGTTATTGCACAGAAGAGTTAACGGCTAGAGAAAAACGACAAACTTTTAAAAAAAATTCCCAATGCATATTTGCATTGCAGCTTGGGAATTGTGCACAGGTGAATCATCATATAGGGCACCCTTTCTCCAACGTGAGTGTTTTTCCTCGCTGGAAAATTCATAGGGGCTGGTGAATCTGGAGAGTTTCTTTGATTGAATTTGAAAGATAATTCTAATTCAGTTAAGAAGTTAAATTCGAAAAGACAGCAACTCAGCGTATTAAGTTCTTGTAGGCTGGAGTGATGGGGAGGCAGGAGAGGTACGAAAACAGAACTGCCTGTAATTCTGCATCCCTGGAGTTCAACCACTGCTTTTGTCTGGTTTGGTTCTGCAACCCAACAAGACAGACACAGACTTCAGAGGATAATTAGAACTGCAGAAAAAACAATTACTAACAACCTGCCTTCCACTGAGGACCTGTATACCCCACGAGTCAAAAAGAGGGCTGTGAAAATATCTACAGACCCCTCGCATCCTGGACATAAACTGTTTCAACTCCTACCCTTAAAATGACGCTATAGAGCACTGCACACCAGAACAACTAGACACAAGGACAGTTTTTTCCAAAACGCCATCACTCTGCTAAAGAAATAATTCCCTCAACACCGTCAAACTATTCACTAAGTCTGCATTACTATTACTATTAGTCTTCTCATCATTCCTATCACCCATCTCCTCCCACTTACAGACTGTATGACTAACTTGTTGCTGTATCCTTACAATTTATATTGATTGTTTCCTAGTATGATTTGATTGCTTATTTATACCCTATGACTATCATTAAGTGTTGTACCTTATGATTCTTGATGAATGTATCTTGTCTTTTTATGTACACATGAAAGCATATACCAAAGACAAATTCCTTGTGTGTCCAATCACACTTGGCCAATAAAATTCTATTCTATTCTATTCTATTCTATTCTATTCTATTCTATTCTATTCTATTCTATTCTATTCTATTCTATTCTATTCTATTCTATTCTATTCCTATTCCTATTCCTATTCCTATTCCTATTCCTATTCCTATTCCTATTCCTATTCCTATTCCTATTCCACATTACCTCCACCCCTCCCCTCCCCTCTTCTCCTCCCCTCTTTCCTCTTCTCTCGTTCTCCTCTCCTCTCTTCCCCTTCTCTCGTTCTCTTCTCTTCTTTTCTCTCCTCTCCTCTCCTCCCCTCCCCTCTCCTCCCCTCATCTCTCCTCTCCTATTCTATTCCATTCCATTCCATTCTAATTTCATTATTCTATTCTGTTCTATTCCTGATTCTATTCTATTCTATTCTTTTGGTATGGTATGGTATGGTATGGTATGGTAAGGTAAGGTATGGCATGGCATGGCATGGCATGGCATGGCATGGCATGGCATGGCATGGCATGGCATTGTTTCAGATTTAATCCACCAAGCCAGCTTTGCAATCATACCGGTCCATAGCTGCTATCTGTTGGTTCCTGGGCTGAATCAATGCATTTTGAGACTCAGTCACCTAAAAAACAGGTGCTACCACCACCCCCATACCATGACAGAGCAGGTGTTTTGAGAACAACTGACAGCGAACAGAGGCTTGACAGAAGGAGGAATATTTTCAGTTTGAAGCCTAGGCAGAATAATCAAGAGATGGTTTGCAGCGAAGGATGTAAAACAGGTGAACTAAGAATCCTACAGAATCCTATCTAGTTTTCTGTGAAGGCTGAATTAACCAGTTCTTATAACATTCTTAGGAAAGCAAAATGGGAACTCTGTTTCTGTCACGTAGATAGCAACTGGATGGCTATCACTGTGGAAAAACACCAACAATAATATCATTTTGCCAGATGCCACAGCTGTGGTTAAAAATATTTTTATACGGGTATATTGCACATACGAAAGCTGCAGTCGGCAATGCAGATAACATTTATCCAGAACCTGTCAGAACCTGCTGGATTTCACCCCTGTGGGGAAGGGAAATGTTTCTAGATCCAACACAGATACAAGGGTACTTTGGAGTCAAGAACGGTTTTCAACTTTGTCTAGAAAACTGCTCTAGCCGAGGTTGGACAGGGATCACTTGACGCTCTTGTGAATACCAGAAACATTGAACTGGCTGAACTGTCGAAGTTTCGATTGACAAGCTCAGCGTCTTAGCCACTGAGCCACCACATCCTTTATTCTTATTCTTCATATTTCAATTCTGGAATTATTTCCCCCAAAACTACTTTGACCTCTAATTTTTTGTTCTCAGCATGAAGCCTATTTCCAGGTCTTTGGTAGAATCTGTGTTTTTGCGTAGTGTCTCAAGTTTTGTTGTTACCTTGCCTTTTCTACACAAGTCTTAGGCTTCTAAACACCTGTAATTCCCCATAGCCTTATTGCTTATATTCTATTTTTAATCTCTGCCTTTTGATGATTTTATAACAAAAAGAGAGAGGCAACTCCTGCAGTTTAATTACCAACCAAACCAGCTGCCTTCTCAAAGAAGGAAATCGAGTCCAGCGTGATTTGCCTGAAGTAATCTCTGTTGGCTGCTTGTAATTATCCAATTGTCTTCTATGTGCTTACAAATGGATTGCTTTATGATTTATTTTAATAACTTGCCAAGGGTGGAACTTGATTAGCAACATGTATGGATGTAGCTGTGTGTGCATGTCCACCCACATTCGCAGCCTTGCCAAATGAAATGGAGTCTTAGTAAGGCTGTTTTCGGGGTGGGGAAAGGAGCAGAAAAGGGCTAGGTTTTAACCTTGGAGAATGGATGCTGTCACATTGACAGCTAGAGCTGCCAAGCAAGCAGGAAAATGCAGACAGCATTGCTTCTTAAATACTGCCATCTGCAACTCTTTTCCACAGACATACAGCAGTGGCCAAAATGGTGGAAACCTTTTGGGGAAAGTGTATTTTTCTAAAACTAGCTCATAACACCACTTTTTTTTTTTTTGAGCAGTCCCATAAAATTATATATCAATGGAAAGATAATTTAATCAAGAATGTAATGCAATAACTTTTTATGAAGTTATTTGCTGTTAGAAGAGCAGTTACAGTATAAAGAAGAAAAGTGAAACACGTAGAAAAAATGAGATATACAAATACGATCACCATGTCAGTTAATACTTAGTTGGGTAACCTTTAGCATGAATGATGGCCTTACAACGTCTTCCCATGGAGTGAACCTAGTTTTTTTAGTTCTGCAGCTGTTCTAATGTGAAACCAAGATTGAATGATGGCTTCTATTAACTGGGTTTTATGGCTGAGTCACTCTTGACTAACAAGTTTCTGTAGTCGGCTCCAGGGGTGAAATCCAGCAGGTTCTAACAGGTTCTGGAGAACCGGTAGCAGAAATTTTGAGCAGTTCGGCAA